GGGATATCAGATCATCACATGGTGGCCTGTGATTTGAGGTTGAAGAAGGGTAAGCGGGAACCTGTTTTTCGAACTTATAGAGATTTTTCCAACCTCAATTATCATAATCTTATTTCAGATCTTTACACAGTTAATTGGCATCATATATATAGTCTGGAAAATGTCAACGATATGGTGCTATTTTTTAACAATAAAATGTTGGATTTATTTGATTTTCATGCGCCATTTCGAACTAAGAAAGTTACAAAACCATACATGCCATGGCTAACTGACAACGTCAAGTTAATGATGAGACTACGTGATAAAGCTAGATCAAAATTCAATAAATACAAAACTCCAGATAACTGGTCTCAGTATAAGACACTAAGAAACTTGGTGCATGATTCACTGAAGGCAGAAAAAAGAGCTTACTTGCAGCACTCTTTCAGGACTGATCCAGGGGCTTTCTGGCATTCGTTAAGGCAGCTGAATGTTTGTAGTTCCTCTCAGAATTATAAATTGAGGGAAATCTCTAGTCCGACGGACTTTAACAATTACTTTTTGGATAGTATACCTAGGCTTAACGTTGAATTATCGGATAATTTTATAACCACCAACTATGAAAACAAACACTTTAAAGAATTTATAAAAAAATTTAACTTTAAAAATATTGATTCACAGAAAATTATTAGTATTGTGAATTCGATAAAAACGAATGCATGTGGGTCTGATGGGATAAGTAAGAAAATGTTACTTTATGTGATACCTTTTTTAAGAGAACACATCTGTTTTATCATAAATAAATGTTTGGAAACTGGTATTTTTCCAGAAGTTTGGAAGCAGTCAAACGTGACACCCATCCCTAAAATTAGCAATCCCACTAGCGCTGCTGATTTCCGGCCTATTAGTGTTTTACCAGTTATGTCAAAAATATTAGAAAAGGTAATCGCTGAGCAAGTGTCTGATTTTTTAAACAATGAAAGAATACTACCACCAACACAATCGGGGTTCAGAGCTCACCATAGTACGTCGACTGCCTTGCTGAATGTCACAGATGATATATTCCGAGCTGAGGATATAGGTAAATCAACCTGTTTAATCTTATTGGACTTCAGCAAGGCATTTGATTCTATTAGTACGGATCTATTGCTGCTTAAATTTAAATTTTTTGGCTTCGGGGAATCTTCCCTAAGGCTGTTTAATAGTTTCCTAACTTCGAGGGTGCAAAGAGTTGGATTGAATGGTGCTTTTTCAGAATATCGACTAGTTGATAGAGGGGTCCCACAGGGAAGTGTCCTCGCGCCAATCTTTTTTGCTATTTACACATCAGACTTGCATAAATTTATAAAAAACTGCCAATCTGATCAATTTGCGGATGATACGCAGCTTCGCAAGTCATTCGATAAAAGCGAATTGCCTCAAGCGGTGCAACAAATAAATGATGACCTGCAATCTATCTCTAATTACTCAAAGTATCATAGCCTCCTCCTGAATGAAAAAAAAAACACAATTAATATTATTTGGTAGGAAACCCAAAGAAATGGCAGAAGATCCCAACTTCAATATTAAATTAAATGATACCCGTTTAATGCCTGTCAATACTGTCAAAAACTTGGGCTTGTTCATTGATAATGATCTAAAATTTAGGTCGCATGTGTCATTTCTTTTGAAAACTTCTTATGGACTTTTAAGGCTACTTTATTTACATAAAAACTTTCTATCAACTCCAATTAAACTCAGGTTGTGTGACTCTTTGATTTTATCGCGTCTAAATTACTGTGACACCGTATATTGGTCTGCATTATTGCAGACAGAAAAGAATAGCTTGCAAAAGCTGCAGAATTCCTGTTTGCGACTTGCATACAATCTTAGGAGGTTTGACCATGTCTCTGAGAAATATAGGATATCAAATTGGTTGAAATTAGGTGAAAGACACGAATTGCACTTATTGCGTCAAGTATTTAAAATAAACTTGTTTGGACTCCCATCATACTTGTCTAGCAAACTAACTAAATCTTGCGAGGTTCATGGGAGGCATACAAGACATAACCATAGATTGGTAGTTCCTAAGCATCGTACCGCTACTTTTAAAAAATCTTTTAGTTACAATGCGGCTAAAATTTACAATAGTTTACCAGAGGAACTAATAAATCTAGCAACTGTTTCAGCCTTTGTGAGGGGGTCGAAGAAGCACATGTGCAATAAGAGATCGTAAATGCATAATATGTGAAATAACCTGGAAGTGTAAACTGTTTTATGTTAGACTATTTTTTTGTAAAAAGATACATTTATCTATTTCGTTGATGGGGTGGTTGTATAGAAGCAACTTGGTTGGATATCGCCACTCATATATGAATGTATGTAAATTTAATTTAGAAAATCTGGAAATAAAGGCATTTTTATTATTTATTTATTTATTTATTTGCCCATTTTGACATGTACGAAAGATAATAGAGATAAAACCTTACAACTTTTGTATTTAACTTTTCTTTGTATTTTCTTTTGTTTAAGTTGTAGGAGCCGCACTAATTATAAGGAACAGAACCTGTATATACATACATAATATGTAAGTAAAAATATATTGAGTTTAAAACTTCTTAAACTACTTAAATCGGTACTAAAACCAACTTAAAAACTGAAACAAGTTCTGTTAAATTAAATTCCTCCTAAGTGCACAAACAGACACGGACCAGCAGATGAAAGGGAAAAACGAACAGTCCAGTTGCGCGAAACTCTAATACACTGGAACGGCTATAAACAGTCCAGGGCGCTCTAGAGCAGCTCAGGAGTGCTTAAAGTGCGTCACTGGAAAGCGACTCAGATCTGCTCGCTCGGGTCTGGGAGGGCGGATGGCTAATTTGTGTCATTATTATCATGTTTATGATCGTCGGGTTTGGGGGGGCTAAGCCAGCCCCCCCTAATTGCGCCACTGCACGGTACATCCATGTATGAACTATCATATTATATTAGATTATACATTCATCATATTCATACAACATACATACTAGAACAGAACATCACTGATATAAGACACTTTCTCTGTATGAAGAATTTTCAGACTGTAACTACGTCTCCAGGGTGCTCAAATGTCCGTTTTTTTTTACTTAAAGATGAGGTTGGAGATACTCACGAAGTTTAAAATTGAATTATTTTGAAAAAAAAACACAAAAACTAGTTTTTCTACTACCGTGCGTAAAGTACCCACTTTACGCACTATTTAGAAGACGTAAAATTTCACTTCACGCACTAGTGCGTAAAGTAATTCACTTCATACACTAGTGCGTAAAGTAATGTCAATGACAGATGTTGACACTGTCAATTTAGTATTTTTCTGGTAAATCACTTCACGCACTAGTGCGTAAAGTGAAAATACTTCACGCACTAGTGTGTAAAGTATATGTCTAAATCTATTTTTTGACACATATTTGATTGGTAGTAGAAAAAATTTTGTATACAATACGTGCGTAAAGCTCCTTTTTTCACATTTGTTGCATAAATAACTATTTTTTTCATGTTTTTTTTTTCAAATCTGGAAAAAAACTGCTTTTTTACATTTGAATCATTTGGAAAAAAAAAACAAAAAAAACGTTTTTTTTCAATGTTTTTTTCCAAATCTGAAAAAAAAAACGTTTTTTTACATCTCTACTTATGCCTCAGAAATTCATTGCCGTGACGTCATACCATATCTCTCGAAAAAAACAGACTTAATGCAATATTTATATTTTTTCTTTTTGCATTCTACTTCCATAATTGTGCTTATAAAATATTGAAAATCAGGGAATTATTCAAATATACGTAATATGATTCGAAAAAAAAACATCCAGTTCTACAAGATACAAAAAATACCAAAATTAAACTTGTCTAAACAAGGCCAAACTAAAACTTGTCAAAACAATGACAGTATTGTCGTAGTGACCGGCGTAGCAGCACCACAATTACCAAGGTGAGAGATGCAGTGACGTCACGGTCACGGCGTGTTTCAAATTTGGAGTGCTTTGATAATTTATTTAAATATGAACAAGAGCTCAGAAAATTATGAATCTTTGCACAACTGCTAAACTCAACACGCTCTTTTAAAATATGTAATTTAAAAAAAAAATGCTGTACGGACCTATTGGACTTCATTTATAAAATACTAAATAATTTAATGCCATCATTCCTATTTGGTCAAATAAGACAAAATTTGAAACTTGAAAAAACTAACTTTAGACTACCTAATCAATACCTATGTAAAAGTATTCATAGTACAAAAAAAAATAATTTAATTTTATTTTTTTGACTGGCTTGATGTCTCTTCCTGATCCTTGCAAATTGATATCCGTTAAAAAATAAAAGGCTTTACAAAAGCATTTAGAAAAGTTGTTATGTTCAACATCCGGCGGCAATTTTTCCCAATAAAAGGGTCGACAGAAACACGGACGAATAAACAGAATTAAGGAAAAATTACATTTTCGAAGCTGAAAGGCTTAGTCTTCAATATCGCCAGGATTTCACTCCTGCCGGAAAAATCGAAGCAACTGTCCATTTCAGATCCGGAAGTAGGAATTTATTATTATCACGAGATATACACTGCAACTTGAATTAGAAGAATTTCATTTTTGAGTAATTAATAGGTTTGTTTTTGCAGAAATCACAAACCAGTCAGAGTGAATTTCATTGGTTGAAACTAATTTTATGACTATTTTCAACCAATCAAATTCGCCTTGACTGGTTTGTGATTTCTGCAGAAACATAGGTACCTATTAACTAATTCAAGGAATCAAATTAGATTTGGCAAATCCCAAAATTTTGCATTCAGAAGGGAACATATATGGATAGTTATTATCCTAAGCAAAATTCTAGAAAGAGCCCTGGAAAACCAAAATTAAACAACTGCAAAAGTAAATTTAAAAGACACAACAAGCAAAAATATCCTTTTTTTTAATTTGATCAACAAACTAACGATTGATTTAAAAAAAAAAAAAAAAACTAGTAAAATATTTTCGTACCTTAACAAGTCACCTAATCATACAAAAAATAAATCAATAATCTTCCTCATATCCGTAATCATCATATCCATATTCATCCCCACCAATTTCGTCTTCGTGATGCTGTTTTAACATTTGCAAAACTCCCATTTCTTTAGCAGTTTCTTCCGGCTTTTCTTCATAGAAGTCTTCTTCTTCTTCTTCTTCCTCTTCATCTGAAAAATAAGGAAAATTATAGAAACTCAATTATTGCTTCAAATACAAATCTTACCATTTTGGTTTTTCGCTGACTCTTGTTTAGATTCAGCTTCCGGTTTACTTGTGGGATCTGACTGTTTGCTTTCAACAAATGGTAGTCCAACAGATTTAGTTCTGACGCGTTTTCTTTTTACAGGAGATTCTTCGGTAATAACTGATAATGGTCTTTTAGGCTGCGATGTAGATGGTACAATATCATCATTTGCATCGTTTGTAGCGACAGTATTCAGATTCTTCAAAACGTCATAGTTAATTTTTGAAGAAATTTTCTTTTCTTGTATAATTTTTTCTATAGCTTCCCCTGCTGAATTTGCCGGACCCATGCGTGCTCTTTTAGTTGGTCGCTTCCGAGGTTTCTTTTCAGGTTTCCCCTCTTCTCGCTCCTTTTGCAATTGCTCTTCTTTTTCTGCAAAAAAAAAAATATCAATAATAACATAAACAAATCGTTATCGGAAATATAAATTATACCTTTTTGCACTTTCAAATAATCCTCATTCATTTGAAGCCACACTTTATTCTTTTCGGAAAATTCCTTCTCACTCATAATATAGGAATCTATTTCATCGTCGTCCAAGTCTTCTAAATTCACCTCCATATCGTCTTCTGCAGGTTTTTGGGGTTGGATGGCGTTTGTGGTGTCATCTAATGAAGCAGGAAGACCTATACTATCAATATTAGGCCCTGAAAAAAAAAAACATTGATTAGGGAATTGCACAAGTACCAATACATTTGCATTAAAACACTCTGTGCTAGAATTTAACTTTTGAGATAATAAATAAACAATTTTAAATTATCTAATGACGATATGCCAACAAGAGAAGTAAATCAATCAAAAACTCTTCTTCTTCTTTCCTTGCCGTCTTCTCATTGCAGGTTGGCGACGACGTTTCTGAATGCTTCTCTCTCTCTCTCTTGTAACATAGAACAGTTCTTCGACGCTGAGATTTATCTACTTCCTCAAGTTTCGGAGCCAGGATTTTTCTCCTCTTTCCCTCTACTTCACCCTGCATTATGTTTTGTAGCGGCAAATACAAACTTCCAGTTCCTACCGAAGCTATGCTGACAGCCTACCAAGAATCAACAAGTTTCTTCAATAGTTTGTTTGATGAAAACAATAGAAAAATTCAGAGCGTTTGAGGAAGAAACAAACCTATATTTATGCAAAGGCTGCGGGATAAAGAAAAATTAATTTTGATAACAGGGGACTTTCTGTTTCATTTAATTAACATTCGATTAGAAAGGAAGCAATATTCTGCTGTGGTATAAAAAATAGTATATCTATTAAGGATCGGAGTATTCCGAAACACAAAGGCGAAGGGATGCGGAGGACGAGCGAAAACGTAGAAAATAACAAGAACGATTTTTTACGCAAATTATATTTTCGATTCAGAAACTTGTATTTTTGAAAAACATTTATTTTATTAATTAAAATACAATAGTGACAATCGGAAAATATGTGGATCAAATTGCTACAGTTAGTGCCTGAAAACAAATGAACGCTCCTTACTGGAAAGCTCTGGCTTAAATAATAAATATTTGCTGATCCAAGCATTTTCCAATGCAGGTGGTGGTACTACCAGTGCAGTACCGCTGATTAAGCAGTTTTATATATTTATTAGTATTGACATAGGCGTACGCTAATAATTAACATAGGAAAGGAGAATTATTAGTATAAAGATAACATAGGGTCTTACAATATAACTCCTCCCTCCTTAAGTGGTTGCAAATTGGGATTGACTAACAATGTTGGGCAATTCAATCTGCACCTCAGTTTGGGTTTTATTACGTTTTCCTCTAAAATATCGAATAAGAATAATGGTTATGCAAATAGAACTTAATACTATGATTATAATATAGGTTGACACATTATTGGTTTTAAAATCTAACACTTTTAATGGGTCAGTCTTTAAATTGTTTGCTTCTTTAATCGCTGATTGAAGAGCTTCGTGGTCGACTGTTTTTAGTCTTACAGTATTCTCTAGAAGTTCAGGAATCTTGATGATGGGTAGTTCTAGTTCTAGGTTGAAGTTCTCATGCGTGTCTTCCAAAAATGTTCGATTATTAATTGTTATTGAACATTTACCTTTGGAAATTACGATTGGACTGGAAATGATTTCCATGTACTTCTTCTGGTCACATTGCAGCATTGCTGTCATATGTCGTTTTGAATTATTGGGTATTTCTTCAATTGTCGATTCTTCATATTGAATTTTCGTGAATGGGCATAATTGTTGTTCACTAGATACAATGTCGTGAACACAGGGCTCATCTTGTTTCAATAGTTCCATTTTGCACAAATAAATGTCTTCAACGTTTGGACATTTTTGTAAAGCATTGTAATACGTGTCTGTGGTAAGGATACTTAACACTAATTGTATAATTTTGGATGGGTATAGGATATAATTTATACAATATAAAAGGTTTAGGATTAATTATTGGTGTGAATATAGTAAAAATAATTAATTCCTTTTGAATAATTACATGACAGGACATTGTCTCATAGTATTTAATTACGTTATCAAAGGGTATTTTTTCTCTCTCGGGTATATTTTTCAAGATCAAATTTAACTCATGATGCTGCAAAATTGTATAGTGCATTATGCCTACGCGTGCAAAGCTTATTGCGTTTTGAATGTGGCTAATAATTTCTCGCAGCTTACTACTGTGCATATTAATATTTTCTAAAATTAGATTCATCATTAAGATAGTTTGAATATTTTGATTATCCGTCGAAATATTTTTTGTCTTGTCTGAGATAATCATCTGATTATTGTCGATAGTAGAAAATTGATCATGAAATGTTTTCGTAATTTGTTTAAGTACGTTTGCTTGATCTTTTAGATTTTTATCGATAGTTTGCTGATTCTCATTTAATGTTTGAATATAAGCATAGGCGGTTCTAGGTGGGGGCTTGGGGGGGCTAAGCCCCCCCAAATCTGGAATTAGCCCCCCCCCCCAAATTTAAATTAGTGATGAATGGCAAAAGTTCGCAGTCCCTGAATAAAAAATATTCAAGTGTTAGGATTAATTAACTACATAACTTCATTGATTTCACTGATTTAATACCTTTATCTAATTGTTTCATGAAATTTTATTCAATTATTTCATAAATATCCGAAATCGGGACGTCTGGAAACAGAGGCAACCCTAGCCCCCACCGCTCGTGACAGGGTTGCCTCTGTTGCCTGTAGGTGTGTGTAATAAGTAAAGTTTACGCGCTGCTCTGTGGAAGCTCAACTATTTGGCTTAGCCCCCCCAAGCCCCCACCTAGAACCGCCTATGTACTTGTATACAGGGTCATCCAACAAGGACTGAACGGCGGCTTATTTCTGACCTTCCCTCTAGACTCGTAGACTCCAAGACAGTTAAAAATTCTTATATGGTGAATTGGGAACAAAATTACATAAAGCTGGGACTAGTCTCAATCGATAGAATTTATGGTTCTGATGAACATACTAAAAGTCCCCAGACCTCCCCCTAGGGGAACATTGTCAAAAGGGCGCCGCCATCTTGAATTTTTGACATTTTTTGCTCAATTTACGTTTTCCTCAAAAACTACCCATTTTTCGAGAAAAGATAACGAGAGATAAATTGAAGAGCACAAAAAAACCTTTATAAAAAGTATTTTTGGTCTTTCCGGGTACTACCCTTACTGAGAAAGGAGCCAAAAAAGTACTGTCAAAAAACAATGTTTTGCCTAACTTTCATTTTACTCATAAACCATTCAGTTTTTAAGAAATAAAAAGAGACGTAAATCGAAGAATTAAATCTGAGGTACATAGGTACCACCGAACATCCGCGGTAGTACCCTTACGAAGATAAGAGCCGATGGAGTACCGCCGACATAGGATTTTTTTATTTTATTTTTTTTGAGAAAAAAGCATTAGCAGGAAATTTCAAAAACGTGACTTAAAGCATATTTCTGATATGAGTACTCGCGTGCGGAAAGTATCACTTTTCCGCATGCGATTACAGTTGGTTGAACGATGCGAAGGAATCAGAGTCAAAAGATACTTTCCGCACGAGTATGGAACGATATTTTTTGTACTAGATGAAAATTGATACTTGTACCTCTACTAATTTCAAATACAATTTTAGATATTTTCCTTTCCGCACTAGTGCGTAAAAGTAATGCGGAAAAGTGACACTTTCAAAACTAAAATGCATGCGGAAAGTGGGCTTATCCGCACGCTAGTGAAAAACCTTTCTCCAGTAACTTCATGTCATATCATTTTTGTTCATCTATTGTCTATATGTATGGAAAGTTATCGGATATAAAAAAATCCATATAGCATATTTTAGCTCCCCAATACTTCTCATTTTTTCTTTTGGTTATTTATTTAATCCAGAAAGTAGCCGCTGCGCTGTCACTCCGCGCTCCTCAAGTGTTTCAATGTAATGTTCATAGGCCTACGATACTTATGTTATTTTTACTCCATTTTTTCATGCCTACTATAAGCTCTTTTTCCATATAAAATTAATAGTTGAATATTACGTTGCTAGTAATATTATGCTTCGTTGATCGAATTTGTTGTATAAAACAATAAAATTTTCATAAAAGTGTAACGGAAAAGCTATTCTGAAGCGTTTAAAATGGATTTATATCAGATTTCCTACAAAACGCAACAACATTCAAGTTATATTAGCTCGCATGTGGAAAGCGGTATTTCGGCGGTACTTCTTCGGCTCCTATCTCAGTGAGGGTAGTACCCAGGAAGTTCAAAAATAACTCCTTTCAAAGGTTTTTTTGTGCTCTCTAATTTATTATTCCTTATATTTTCTCTAAAAATGAGTAGTTTTCGAGTAAAACGTAAATTAAGCAAAAAATGTCAAAAATCCAAGATGGCGGCGCCGTTTTGACAATGTTCCCCTAGGAGGAGATCTGGGGACTTTTAGTATGTTCATCAGGACCATAACTCCTATCAATTCAGACTAGTCGCAGCTTTATGTTATTTTGTTCCCAATAAAATTATAACTGTCTACTATTTCTGAAAAAAATCAAAATAACCAATTGGAATACTTTTTCTGTAGAATTAAAAAATGGTACCAAAAAATCATTTAAATAGAAAACCAAAGAGTTACGCCATGGATGAACAATTTTTTTTCATGGAACAACTTGTTTTTTGTATGATTTTTGGAAAAGTGGCATTTTTTACATTTATTATGTTCGAAATATTTAATATTCCAATAGCTGTTTTTATTTAATTTTGCAATGTTTGATCCGTCTCTGTGGTATCCCCTATTCCTATTCTAGGGCCTTCTTTGTTCGTACTCTTTTTTGTACCCATAACTTTCCTCAAAACTTTTAGAATTTCTGTCGTTATGTTCATTATTTCTTCCGGAGTTTGTTGTGTTTCCAGCCGTGCTTCAATTACCGCCCTTTCGCTCGTCCAATCGTCCAATATTAGTAGGTTGGTTTCATCAGTCATTTGTTGTATCAAGGTGCGTTCCTTGACCTCGCTCAATTTCAGGACCTTGAGCGGTCCATCGTTCCTGAACTCATGAGGTAGTAAATTTCGTAGAACGATGAGTGGAGATCATTCTCGAAATGGTCCCTAAAAGTCTCGAAGGGCATTTTAGGGTGTATCTCATAAGCTAGGGCTTATAATTCGAAGTAGAAATGCTGAAGTGCTTAAAATCCTCGTTTTCCTGCTGTCTTCTCGTATTCAACCTAAACTTCA